TAGCTCTTTTTATTCTTCAGTTATTTCAAAAACATCCACGGCTATTATATTTGTGGGCATACATTAGTACCTACTTACGAGGAAACATTCCCAAGTGTCCTCTCGCTTTTCAAGCGAAACCTAGTGGGTTCTAGGTAATCGAGTACGCTAATTCCGAATATCATAATGGTTTTTGCCGCTAGGCCTTCTAGACCTAGTTTTCTGGAAAACCAGGTTTCAGGTCGAAAAAAGTTTTTGAGTAAAAAAATTATTTTGACTCCTCTATCGTGTAGAGCACGTCAAGTTATGTATAAAACTATATTTTTTTCTGCTTTAAATCCTCTACCTAAGATTCAAATTCCACCAAGAAAGATTTTTAAAAAATTTATTCACTAAAAAAACCTGTATTTTCCAAAAGCGCTTCGTTTGTCCAGCTTTATACTTTTTTTAATTTTTAGGACTGTATAGATTTTAAAGCAGGAAAAAATGTAGTTTTAAACATAACTCAACGTGCTCTACACGATAGAGGGGTCAAAATAATTTTTTTACTCAAAAACTTTTTTCGACCTGAAACCTGGTTTTCCAGAAAACTAGGTCTAGAAGGCCTACCGGCAAAAACCATTATGATATTCGGAATCAGCGTACTCGATTACCTGGAACCCACTAGGTTTCGCTTGAAAAGCGAGAGGACACTTGGGAATGTTCCCTCGTTAGTCTAGAATAAGCTCATAATTGATTAATTATACAATCGAACAAAACGATCGATCAATTAAAGAAATACTTATAATTTTTCCTAGTGAGATTTAGCATTTATCTTCATACATGGCATTAATCTTTTTCAAATTTATCCAAAATGTACATAAGCATTTATGAAAAACATAAATACAAATTAGATTTATTTATGAAACGAACGTTCTGGTGTACTGAATGCAAATAATGGTCGTTATTTGATAGTAATTGATATTGTCCATAACGAGATGATTTAACATTTAAAAGAATTCTTGATGTGATTACAGATTGACTTCATGGTGGTGTATGAACATTTTTCTCAGCAATTGTTGAAATACTTCGTTGAACTACAGTTGATTGAACTTGTTTTTGATCAGGTAATGGTGTTAGTATATCGCCATTAGCAGATTTATAGCTTGTTTTTAATGAACAATTATTAATATTTGAAGATGCTCATCGTGTAATTTGCTGTTTTCCTAAAACCTAATATAGAATATATTTTTTTTGCTCAAAACGATAAAATGATTTGTCATTACAATTGATTTAAGACTTCGAAGTTCATTTTTACATTCAATCATTTCTTGTAGAAGTCCTTTGATTAGAACTAAATGTTTTTAATAATTTTTAGATATTCAGACGAACAAGTTGATTTCTAACCAACTAACTTTCTTCAGATTAATGATCAATAATTTTAACATAAGTTCGATCTCGATTACTATCGTTTATTTCAATTGTATCATCAATTGAAAAACCAGATTCAACTATATAAAATTTTTTGTTTCATATAAAAAGAAACAAAGAAAAAAAAAGAAAAAATTATTATTATTTTTCGTATATGCTTTGGATGGTAATAATGCTGGTAATTCTTCATCACAAATTCTAGATATGAAGAAAAAAAAACATTTTCTAATGCATTTACGAAATAAATCACTTAACATACATTTTGGAATATTTTTCATCATGATGATATGGAAACAATGAAAGTGATTCATAAGTACATTAACCATCAGCCACAGTATCAAGAAGTTTATTATTTGAATCAGGTTTATCAATAGGTTAAATAGAAGAAATTTATTTAAAACATAAAACGAAATTTGATCAGTATTTTACCTAAAATAGCAAATGGAAAATCAAATGAGATGATGATATCGGTAGAATCGAAGAATCTGACAATGAAAGAAACACAAGAATAGAATCATGATTAAGAAAAAACATGACAAAGACTTTTGAGGGTGTGGGTGTGGTTGAATTGTAGAACCACACCCACACCCCACCTCTACACTTTCTTAGCGTACACCTAAAAATGCATAAGAATCAAGCACAATAATCTTGTCGTATCACTAAAACCATGAGCCCTTGATGTTAAACTGTTTGTAATGTAAACTAAATGTATCCTGAGAATTTAGAGTTCAAGTTTTATCTTATGTCGAGAGTAGCATATGTAAGAAAATTAGAACATTTATTTGAAGTCACTGACTGTCTTATGAAATATTAGGAATAATTCATTAATTAATCAAAGAGTGTTAGAGCTGGCCAGTTCAAGTCAGACTTGACTTGTGACGTGAAAAATACTTGAATCGTTGAGCTCTGGAAAGAGTGTAGATCAGAGGTGTCAATAGAGTGATTTTTTCGTACCCTTTCCTGAACTGGCACACTGTCTTTGTTGTAGTTCCACACTGAATGCAAAAGCAACAACATTTACTTACTATGTCATAAAACATTGTTTTATTTAAACATATTTTACAATAATATTAACTTGTAGTTTGACTAATAAAATGCGTGAGTATCAACAAAAAAAAAGTAATGTATTCATAAGTTGGACTGTAGAACTTAATATTACAAAATATTCAAGAAAAAGAACGACAAAAAGTAAAATAATTATCATAAGTAGGAAAAAACCAACCCACAGCAGACGTGATTTAGTTATATATGTATATATAAATATATTTATAGTGATCATACTAATAAAATGAGTTCTAACTTATCTGATTGAAGATTTGCTTTTGTTTAATGTAAGATAGAGCGAGCAGTAGAAAACTCTTTTTCTATGTTAGTTGTTGTTACAGGATTAGGTGGAATAGATCAGGCATATTTTCAAAGAAATGAACATTTACTTTGATGCAAGTTTCTATTTTTTGTTTATTCTTATTGAATTCAAACAATAAATATCAATCAAGTTCATTACCTTTTCTTAAATTATATTCGAATTGTATAAAAATATTTCTGTCGTTCTCAACTTTTTTTTCTTATGTTTCTGATGATTCTTTTGCAGGGTATAAAAACCTCAGCCTGTCCTGTGGACATCTCTAGTGTAGACTGATTTAAAGAAATACATTTGACGATTATCTACTTGAAGGCATATTATCTTAGTTTTTAGTATCAAGCAGTCATATAACATTACGATATGTTTCAAAAACTGAAAAGATAGATAGTGAAGTCAAATAAATCTAATATTAAAATGAATATGAAAAACAGATCTAATTAAGAGAATTTGTACCGTTCAAAATCAAACATAACCTGTAGGTTTGACTGAAAGTTCATCATCTATTTTATACAAAAATCTTGAATTCGCTAATAGCTAGACTTAATAGAAATTCAAAATCCATAATTGATGATGTCGAAGAAGAAAAAAACACTAAATTTCAATGGAAATTCACTTGACAACATTATAATTTAATTTTTCTTTTCAAATACTATAATTAATATCGAATGAAAGTAAAAAAAAAAAGGATCATATTGATAATATGAAACAGTAGATCCTAACAAGGATTGAAATCCATTGAATTTCATATTTCAGAAAAGAATTTTCGGTTAATATATCATTAAATAAAATATGGCATGTCGTCTTTTAATACATTGCTTTTTCTGATAGGATAGAAAAATTTCTAACTTATGACGTGGTTATAAGTTGATAATGATCTCTTAATGTATGTTAACAAGCATGAAAAGTGACGTATACAGTACTGGTAACCTTACAGGAAAAAAACTCGAGTTTCTAATGGTTTTACAATTGTTACTTTTCAACCAATGGGATATTGTGTATAGTACGTCCTAGAAACTGTCAAATTTCGTCTAAGAAGACTCTTGAGTCTCCTCTGTAGTCACGGCAAGGAGACTCAGTCCTCTTCTACAACTTTCTTCTCATTATGATACTAGAAAATATGCTTATTTTGCAAGGCTACCGAATAGGAAATAAAAACTATGATTACTTCAGTTAAATTTATAGATTTATTTTTATTACTCTATTGCATAGTCATAAAACTGTAAAGGTTTTTTATGAAAAAAGAAATTACTTATTACAAAAAATAAAAATAAAATAGTTTTTACACATTTAAAAGAAGTAATACATTTTATTTTTGAGATTGTCGCTTTTAACGACTAGATAATCGTAAAGGTTTTCCGAGTGATTTGTTTTTATAATTATTAGTTAATAATGATGAAGACGAAATTGATGTTAAGAATTTTTGTCTACTTTTTAAAGATGTGTTCGATACTACCTCTGTCACATTTGTTATTAGAAAAAAATTAATCTATTAAAAAACGAAGTTCTTTTTTATATCCATCGATACCTTTCTTTGTTATTAGTACTAAGAAGAAAAATAGAATAATTATAATTAGACCAATATTAACAAAAAGAAAAGAACTTCTGAATCAAAATTTTTGAAGATGTTTTCAAAAAACAAATTTTCAATAACTTACGTCAAGTTTCTTTAGATGACGATAAAAATTGTTTAAGTTCATTGTTAGGCACTATTGTTGCAATTATTTTATCATATATAATCAACTAAATTACATACACTTGAGTCTGGTAATAAAAAACTATAAATACTTAATTGATAACACTCCTTTACCTACATAAGTACTTGCGGATCATGAATAAAAAAAACCGGTAGTAAAACATGTTAGAAGAAATCATACCATCAAATAGAATATTTTTATGTTAACAATGCATAAATTCTTCTAAACTAAATATCAAGACAAACAAATCGATGGATCTTCAGTTTAATCATTGAATATGAAATAGAAATTTATGTTGCAGTTTTTTTTTTTTGATGACAAAATGATTTGATAAGATTAATAGTAAATTCCGATCATATTACATATTTATTAAACTTTAATAGAGAATCAAGACGAAAAATATAATTACAACATATAAAAATTAAACAACATTCTCACAATTTTATTGTGCACTTGTATAAGAACGAAAACATTTTTAATTGTCATCAGATCTATAAATCTTTTTTTTTTGATAAAGTTTCATTTTGACGATTAACTATTGTTAGAACATTTTTTCATAGTTTTGATGCAGGAGGTTTTGATGATACATATCTCAGATTGTGACGATAGCCTGTACGGCATGTTAAATCGGATTTGAGAATAGATGTGCCATATTTACGACGTCTTTGTTTTTGTTCAATTAAATGAAAATCAATAAACAATTGATGAAATTCATTTATAAATATACTTCGAAATTTTTTTCCAGCTAAACAATATAAGAAAAAATTAACTACATGAGGTAAATCCGACAATATATCTTGTATAACGCCTGAACAAAACCCAAATTTATATAATACTATATCACGATCACTAATAACTAAACATGAACGTCCATGTAATATTTGTCTTATATCATAAACTTTATCACAAACAAAAAATATTGTATTAGGAATATTAAATATAATTAATGATAATGTAACAGCTAAAAGCATACGTGTAACTTGTGCATTTGTACGTCGTTTTGTAGCTAATACTAATTCGACTGCTTTAGTTGTTGAACGACCGGAACAATTTCGACGAAGTGATGCTTTTGATAAATTTGTTTTGGAAAAATTTGAATCAGACTCTTGTTTATTAGAATCTTCACATATTCGCCAATCATATGAAGTACGACGTAATATAACTGCAATAACAATATTAGCAGCTGTAATAAGACCTGAAAATAGATGAGATCATTACATTAATGTTTTAGAAACAATAAGATTTGTCCTGAAAAGATTATAACTTCTTAATCGTGTCGAACAACAAAATGACTTAATCAATGCATTTGTCTAACTTTTGATAATATTTCATTTATTCAATAACGCATCTGTCATATTCTATAACTTCGATGCTTTCTTGCATGTCTAAACAATTGCAATGTCTAATAACTATTCCAGAAGAAAATAAAGCATGAATTAAAAAAATTACATTCAACTATTGATAAGCAAAAACATTTAATTTTAATCCATCTTCTCAAAAAAAAAAAAAACAAAGAGATCGTATTTCTTTAATTATTAATGATATAACCATAATCAGAATATGTACTTTAGTGATTAATGAAGTTTTATTTAGTAAACAATTTTGAAGAGTTTTAATAAAATTTTAATAGTTATCAACCATAATGATTTAATGGATTATGTTTATAACTGTAAGTTGTTAATCTAATACAATCATGAAGTTATGATCTGTACGTATGGGAATATCGGTGCATATTATATGGCATCTGTCAATCATCAATCTTAACCATTCATAATTATAGTCATAATAATTCTAAGAGACAATATTAACTTTAGTTAAGTTGACTTTTCAGATAAAAAATAAGTTCTTTTTGCAAAAATATTATAATATCTTTGCAGCTAAGAAAACATAATGCTAGTGATTAATATAAAAAACGTCTTGCTTAGAGATAATTTTCATTGAAACTAATTTGATTGAATAACAGTCATTAGTTTTTAATTTAGGAAACAGTTAAAATTATGCTGATAAGTACTATTGCATAAGTAAGATAAATATTCTTTAATTGTTTTAATTCATATCTCATTAAAAAATCATGAAATTATTTGTCTAATAAATATTGTATAATTATAGACAATAATTTTTGAACATGGTACTGGTAGTCATATTAATGACGAAAAAAGAAAACAATCAAAAATTCTTTTTTCCAAAGCAGATTTCGTTTGACGTTTCATTTTTCTAATAATAGAAAAATGAAAGAACATTTCAAAAGCGAAAAATTCTCTCTGGTAGAGGACTCTCGAAACTGATATCATAGACTTTTCTCATTAAACTTTCACCATTACTATTGTTCAGAGTTTCGAAGAATAATGTTCAATTATCTAGTTTCATCAAATAATGCTCATATCCTTATATTACGAATTGCGTTTCGTATTGCATTGAAGCATGAAATTATCTTTAGTTTTTGTTCCAGTCAGATTTTCGAGATATGTAATAATTTCTATTTGTCGAAGAAACTGCAACCTAGTTATATTTTCAATTATTACGTTTGACGCTGTCTTCCGAATCGGTTCACTGATTGAGAAAAAAATACTCCTTTTTTCCCGACTATGTATTTGAATCTATCATAAAAAACAGACAAGAAATTCTATTATGTAATATTGATAATTGACTAGAAAACATCTACAAAAACGAATTATGCTGCATTTGTTATCACATCCTATACAGACTATTTTTATACGTAATATGCTGATAAAATCAACAAAGATATAATAAATATCTTTACCTATAGGCAAAATTGAAGCAGTAAGTAGATCGACGATAACAGGAACATCTGATCTACAGTGTTTACGCTTAGTTTTTGTTTCGCCGATGCCAGAGAATTTGATGAACGATAAATTGGCAAGCAAAAGTGTAATAATAGTACAACAACAAATCTGATATGCTCGCTTATTGGTTAGCCATATACGTGATTTAAGTGGATAACTAACAGCAACAGCTTTATCTCTATAAAAGAAAAATATTTATGTTATGTACTTGTATTATATTATTAAAAAAAAACAAGTAAAAAGAAAAGCTTACAAGCTCATTAAAACAATTGTCCACATAGCAATTGAAATGCATGCATTCATTAATATATATAATGTTTTACAAGCTGATGAAGTTAATAACAATGTTTCATAACCTTTTTCAGTTGATTGATAATTAATTTCTGCTCGAATATATTGAAATATAATTGATAATATATCAAAAAATGCAAGGATACGTAAAAATATAACCGTAGTCGATTTATTTGATAATTTCGACCGCGAAAGTATAAATAAACAAAGTAAATTAAGTAATATACCTGGTCCAATAAGTACACGTAAATATGTTGACTCAATTGATTTAAAAGTTAAAAAAATAGATGTATTAAGACGAGCTTGTAATGAACATTTATGTATTTCTGATAATGACTCGTTATTTGTAGTATCAATTGATCTAAATGAAAATATTCATGAATCTATTCTGAAATAAGAATTGTTATAATGATAGAAGAAAATTAAAAAATATACATGCAAATGCTTTTCTTGTTTCCTCATTTTTTATTTTGCATCAAACAAATCTATATTAGCGAGAATTAAAATTAATAAACTTAAACAACTAGTTTGTTTATGATTATTAATACTTTGTTTGTGTTTCTATTTGTTTTAAGTACGAAATATATATTTTGTTTACATTTTATATTCAACATATTATTGTTGCTTAATCATTGCATTTATCAATATACTCACTTGACACTAAAGAAAAGTAAAGATAAACAAGAAATATTCTTTGTCAATATGTATGTCATTAACTAGTTTTTGACAGTTTTGTTCTAATGAATAGCATGATGAACCTACGGTTTCTATTACAGAAATCTTTGTTACGATAGTATTGATATAATACTCTTAGTATATTTGCAAAGGTCATTATCATTATTAATTACACTGCGATAATTATTTGATGTGTCGACTTTCTTTCCTAATTTATTCTTATTTAAATTAAACATCACAAAATTTATTATGTGAATAGCAGTTTTGTATGGTACACTAAAATATTACTCATGAATTTCTTTTAACACATAATTAGTGTTATTTCTCTTTTTTCCTGCATATTTATTTTTCGACGAGAGAATAAAACATGAATATTTATTAAAAAAAAAAAAAGATCACTCACATGACATTATGAACAGATCAATACTTGTGTAATCAAGAAAAAACTTCTTCTTGTGACATTTTTCGTATATTTTTTTTTTTCATAAATAAGAATAGAAATATTTATCCTTTTTTATATTCTTAAAAATATGAATTATTTTATAGTATTTATTTTTGCAACAATAATTATACTAGGAACAATTTTTGTCATTTAATATCGAACAAAAACCTTATTTTTTTTTCATCAATTATTATCTTGATTTTCTTCATGATATACGATAATAACTTGATCTCATAAATAGTTGTTCTTTTTCATTGATAACTCATGGTAATTTAACAGAGAGATTCAAGTTTTGATTATAGAGTGAATTCAAATGCAATAAATTATTTTTTTCATATTTTACATACAAAAATTCATGAATTTATATTCCACATTTATATAATGTTAAATATAGTTTTTGCGATTTCATGGAAAACAATTTTCAAGAGAGTTATTTTCTTTTTCTTTGTCTTGTATAATCAAATAAAGTTGTTCTTTGAAAATTAAGAAAACAAAAAGAAATAATAAATACTCGAGCATAAATGCATCAAATGCTTCATGATTAATAATTGATTGATTAAATCGCTCGACTTCTTCCATAATTTGAAGATGTTGATATGGTGTTGTGATTGAAAAATGTTACAATATATATAAATAATCAATAGAAATTCTAGAATAGAAAAAGAAAGCCTAATTAATTGATAAACAAGGAACAAGAAGACCTTAATAGACAATCAAAATTGATAATAGATTGAAACAATTCAAGAAAGTTTCATCTATTCAAATGTATCAAATAGCAAAATAATTCTAAATATCTTGTGTTCTCAAATTGAAACTATCTAAAGGTTTTACTGTTAAAATAGTTTGACATTTAAGTACAATCAAATATTATCAATAAGAGTCAAGTAAAAAACAATATTTGATAAAAAGTCGGGGCATCCTACAAATAAATAATGTCAATCGTAGGTAAAAAGAACTAAAGATCTAATATTTTTATCACTAGAACTACATAAGATGTTATTGTAAACTCTGGTCAACTGTGAAAAACTTTTATACTAAAATGTTTAACAGTCATTCTATGTCTATCGAACGGAATTTTTTCTTTTATGATAATAAATCATAATTACCCGCCGTAATTCTCATATTCTTCATAAGCGATCATGGTATTTTTCCTATTTAGTCCATCTTTTATTCAATGTCTTTGTCATCTATATCTCATGCTTCCTCTTTTATAGCTCTATCCTTCTATTATTTATTCTATGCTTTTTTATTCAGCTGATAAATATGTGAATATTATCATCTCGTATAAGATCGATTACGAAGACAAAACAAAAGCAATAATGCAGAACTATTTACAATAGTGTCAATATTGATGAACTGTTCAAATTCATTTTATTATCGATAGTATCTAGATTATTTTGACAAATCAATCAATCAACAATTTCCTTACCAATAATGTAGTAGTTACGTTGCAACTATTCCAACTAATATTCTATGTTTAAGCTGTTACTTCATTCATCAATAAAATTCATAGGTAAAGATAATAGCTTTCATACCCTTAGGTCTTTTCCTATGACGTTATAGCCGTTTACTTCAATTACCAGCATATTGCAGAGTATTACGAAAAAAAATTGCAATAATATGTTTTCGTCTGAAATCTTCTCTAATAATATATCTCATAGTCGTTGTTGTATTCTCAAGGGTTCAGCTGAAATAAATTTTTTTTTGTGGAAGTCACATATATTTTCGAAGAAAATGGTGAGTGTGAATTTGAGAGCAAATTTTTGCGGTTTCCTACTACAGACTTTAGCAATCGAGAATAACAGGCGTCAGATTTTCTATAGTTTTTTTGAAAAATCGATCAAGTTGTAATTCTGAAAAATAGTTAACATCAGTATTTGTAAGTTGATTAATAGTCGTAGATATTATAGATATAGGAGCTAGGCTTATTTGCTGATTAATTTCATGATGATAATAATCATAATGTTGAATTTAAAAAAAATGAAAAATAATGAGCGAATAACAACAATGCAAACAGAAAAACTAAACAATTTCTGGTCAAAATGCAAAAATTAGAAAGTTTCTTATTCTGATGTTCGTTTATCGTCAGAAGCAATGGTAGTCTACGGGGGATAAAGAACATTTATGAATTCTACATTTTAGCCCCATAGGGAGTGCGATAACAAGTTTTTTAAAGATGTAAAATATCTGAAAATGGACTATTATTAGAGTTTTCATGAGAAAGTCATGTTGTTTGAAATTGTATTCTGTCGGATGGGAAACATCCATTTGAGATGAAAATTTCAGAATATAATCAATACTATTATATTTTGCTATTTAGAATAATTTCAGACAGAAACTCATTATTATAGTTTCTTTCATAATATCCGACAATATGCGGAAAGAATATCTATAACACAAGCAGAAAAGCTTAAGGACATGAATGTATTTAGGATAGTCATGTTAACAATAAGTTTAAACAGAAGGTATCAGTTGAAGACATTATAACTTAAGTAAAGATGATACGCAAAAGAATAGAAAAGAAAACATAAACTAGAGCAAGTAATTAGAATTCATCTAAGATTTTGATTAGTTACCATAGGATACGAAAAACTACCAAGAAAAAGTTATTAACAATCATATATTATATTTCATAATTTACATACTCTTATGTGTCTACCTTTGTTTATACAGTGTTGGACAGATCTGTTCTTATCTAATGGTACATGTGTATTGAATATTAATGAAAAAAAAAGATAGAAAAGATGCCAATGGTAACAATAAACTTATAGTGATGCTTTCATATATGAACTAATTTATTCATTCTAGTCATGGTAATTTTGCCATCGAATGGTAGACAGAAAAGGAAATAGCTTGCTTGTAACATTGATCACAAACAAATACAAGTATTGCTTGCTAAAAGTATTCTGGTAGTCTTTTGTTTATAGAGGCGATTATAAACAATAGAAGTTATAGTTACTCATATCTACATTAATGAAACTATAAATATTTATAGATTCATGGATCTGCGCAAAACCCCAGACAAAAATTTAAAAAAAAAACAACAAATAAAATTTCCTTTCGAGCTGCAGGATATTTGACTTCTTGCTTGAGTCTATGTCATACAACGTGACATGCAAAATAATGAAGATGATTATCAACTAAACTTGTGGATCTTATAAGACATAAAAAAAAGCCATATTCGAAATTGTCTTACCAATTCCAACACTTAGAATTGTTTAAAGATAATGGAAAGATTTTCTTGGAAAAAATGAGGATATGATCTCAGAGTGCTTAATTAGTCCCAAAAATGATGAATTTAATCTCGTTTTTTTCCGAGTTCAAATTATAAGAAAATGATCTCGGAAAAAAACACTCATTAACGTTGAATCAACGTAGTTGGCAGAAAAGATCTCGATTGACTCTACATATATTTATGCGCATATAGTTATATAAAGACTAATGTATGTGATGAATAGAAAAAAAATGAATCGAACGGTAAAAATGATTCATCTGATAACACGTTGAGTGATTGGTCAATGAATACAGTACAATATTTATTTCCTATATATTGAAACATTGATGCTGATCTCGAGATTAAGGCTTATTATTGGATTTATAAAGCTAATAGAGACGAAATATTACACTTAGACGCATTTATATTTGTGGTTCTAGTAGCAGAGTCTCAAATAGCTACTCGCGCTTGGATACAGTATTTTTATTCAATAGTTTGGTTATCGTATGATCATTTTAAACAGTGGTTGGACTTACCATGAATCTTAAATTTTACCTCCAATATTCTGTTCGTGCAAATATAATCTGAAGCAATATTCGTGTATTCATTCAACAAGTCTTATGATGATCTGGAGAGTTCGAACAACTGCACAGTTAATTGGGAAAAGAAATGGCAAAGAACGAAGAAAAAAGGTGAAATATTCGTTGTTAAAGGACTGATTTATCATATACCTTTTTTTATATATTTTGTATTAGATATTTATAAATATAAAATTATTGTATTTCGTTATAATACTGTACTCTGTTTATTAGTAAACACATAAACTAGGATACTATATTTCCATTTTCTCTTTAACATAACCAATCGAGATGATTTCCTCATAATTTTTACTCAAAAAAAAACCAAGCTCAATTTCATCATATTTTGGAATAATCAAGCGCGTCGAGATCATTTCAGCGTCGTCCGATTTTCTTTTTTTCAAATAACATAAACTAATAAATTATATAACCTATATCAATTTGAACACATTAAAAAAATTATTACGAATTGCAATTTAATAGTCGATATCTGTAAAAGTAAAAAGAGTATTCTGTAGTTTATATTTTGATAAGTTTATAAATCGACAAAGAAATCTTGTTACATAGAGTAATAGATTATTACAGTCTATTATTTATTCTATGCTTTACATCATGATATTTCAGGCTTTCATATATGAATCATTGTCAAAAGGTTAAATTAATTAGGCATAATTCGAGTCGATGAATATTGATCTTTTCATGTTTCTCATTTAAGCAATAATGTCGAAATATTTTATTTACAATTTACTTCAACACTAATTCTATAGATTTAATCTGTATAAGAAAAATTTTTATTTCTTTGAAATTAAAGAAATTATTTTGTTCTTAAATCTAACTATGAACGTTGAAAAGTAATCAAGTTGAATATAATTATAATATTAAAGTTAACATTTCATTTTTAGAATCAGAAAACTATATTACACTCATAAAAATTCAAGGAACAACTGTTTCACTGCCGTATAACTCTCTTGTATCCAACTAACAAAAAGCTATTAAGAACTCACATGTAATGAATCATAAATATCTTCATCTATATTCATAATATATAACGCATTCATTAGTTTAACTTTTGATATATGTGACTATCAAATGACCTACACTACTTATGTATTGAATTAGAATAGATACAAATTTAACATGAATTGTTGACTATCTACTAATATACATTAAATAAATAACTGACTAAGTAAAATTGTGATAAAACATACTTTCTTAGTCGAGACTATTGAATTATCATTGTCATCTGACTCTTGACTTATTATTCTAACTTTGATATTTAGTCTGACCCACTACTTTTATATCATTGATAATTAAGAAAATATTCTATGTGTTACATTATTGATGAATTACTTAGTTGCGAATGCTTGTCAAGCTTAGTTTTCTCAAATGAATTGTGAAACAAGAAAGGAATTAGAAACATAGGCTTCAAGTCTCATTTCTATAATCATGCTCATGAACAATAAAAATATAACCACTAACCCATATATAATGTATTCTTGCTTTTTGTTAATAAAAACATCCTATCTTTTATGAAAGTGTTTGAAGCTACTATTCTCTCGCATGAGTTGTCACAACTTCTAGCAACAAGATAATTCTTTCCTGACTTAAAGCTTATTTTTCAAAATCTTGACACATTCTTAACTTACTTAAAAATAAAATGTAGATTAATCAATAGCTAACTCTTTTTTTTCTTTAGTGTCTCAACTTAATATATTGATTGACACATAATCTCAAGAATGAAATGACAGAAATATCCAAAAACAAATTACCTTCGAAAGAAACAAAAA